CACCCTTGATCAAAACTTTGTATATATAGAGAAGAAATATATATAGATAAAGAATTCCATCTGGGCCAGGTGATTATTAGCTTCAGTTTATCCAAATTTTCTTCACCTCTGTCATAGTAATTGGTTGGTTAAATTCTACTAATTCCAAATCTACATCAGGTATACCAATATTCTCTATATCTAAACCAGTCATATAATCTTCGATTGAACCGTAAAAATCATTGTAATTTTCATTTTCCACAAGAACCGGGGTAAACAAATTAGTGAAATAATGTGACCATTCCTCCATAGTAATATTTTCTGAAACATTAATTTTATGTTGCTTAAGTTTCTGCCAAAATTTATGAGAGTTTTTCTGTTTAGACAGGTTAATTAGTTCATCCCTTCTGAGCTTTTGAAATTCTGCTTTTTTCTCTTTAATGAGTTTTTGATAGGATTGTTTAGATAGAAGGTAATATTCAAGACTGTTCTGACTTTTTGTATGTCTATAGTGATTAAGCGCTTTACTGACTGCACGTTTGGTGACCAGACATTCATTATCAAACCAAAAATTTTGAAAACACTCATTTAACTGTTTTGACTTGCACACCATATCTTTCCCACAAGTATAAATAATATTAGTTAAATTAGTAGCTGCGTCATCTATATTTCCTTCTATCACATTCCCATAAAACTCATGACTTAGATTTATAATGTAATTGACATATAGAGGCGTATATGACATGTGTTTGTGAATTGTAATATGTCATTGACATATAGAGGCGTATATAACACGTGTTTGTAAATTGTAATATGTCATTGACATATAGAGGCGTATATGACACGTGTTTGTAAATTGTAATATGTCATTGACATATAGAGGCGTATATGACACGTGTTTGTAAATTGTAATATGTCATTGACATATAGAGGCGTATATGACATGTGTTTGTGAATTGTAATATGTCATTGACATATAGAGGCGTATATGACATGTGTTTGTAAATTGTAATATGTCATTGACATATAGAGACGTATATGACACGTGTTTGTAAATTGTAATATGTCATTGACAAATAGAGGCGTATATGACATGTGTTTGTAAA